AGTTTAAAAAAATACAAAACATCATATGTACAATATCAGGAATGAGGATGTTGTGGCATTCGAAATGATGGTACTTATAAATTCCAAAATTCCTGGCTAGGGCTAATGGACCTAGAACCCAACAAATGGAGAGCCACAAGTTGTACTTCCCGACTACATATTAATAATCCTACCCCAGAAATATTTGAGGTGAAAAAAACCTTTGAGCCTACTCCTTTGATAGTAGTAACAACCTTTAGAATACCAATGCCACGTCAGTCTGACTTTTTTATTCCACTTTTTATTCTACAGCATTTACACCATCTCAAGATAATAATCAATGTACATGAAAAAAGAGCAGTTCCTATACTTCTGGGCACTGAAAGGTCTTCCTTTTCCTGGACCATCTTTGTTGGACAGTAGCAAGATCCCCCATTGGTTGAAATCCACCCATTTATATAGTTCCGCTGTAATATTTGCTTCATCCTAGCATGAGGCCAGATAGATGATCAATGTTTGCTTAAAAAAATTATACACATGCACAGCTTTTCCTGAGTGATAGCACTAATTTGCACCTTCAGCTCTTCCCAAGGATCAAGTGTTTCATGGGCAGAAGGTTAGCACATTGGGATAGATAAATCAGCCAAGCTAATTTTGTTTTAAGGTAGCATTTGTGTTGATCACATCAACAACGGCCTGAGCTATTCTTGTAAATGTGGCTTTATGTTCAGATGTTAACAGAATATACTTGGGACAAAGTCATCTTACAGGGCCAGTTTTGACAAGATTTGTAAGATATTCTTTGCAATGATATTCCCATGGCTTAAAAAGAGAACCATCTGGATATTGTTACAGCAAGACGATTCCAGTTTACTAATAGATCAAGAGGGTACATAGTATGTGTACAATTGCTGGCATAAATATAGCAAGCTGAAGAAATCATTTGGGAAAGAATTACTTGAAAGAGAATTACTTGGAAAATATGTAACATGAGAAAGAAAAAGGGACAAATTCTACCTACAGAAAGCACCAGATTACATTAAGAAATAATTGTAGCAAACAGGAGTTTGGGGTCTTCTACAAGTAGTCTTCAACTTACGACCACAATTGGGACTGGAATTTCTGTCGCTAAGTGATGTGGTCACATGACAGCATTGCTTAGTGATGGCAATCCCAGCATTCCCTGTTGCTGCTGTTAACTGAATTCCACCAGTCATTAGCCAAGGACCCACCCCAATTCAAGCCATTCCGGGCTTGGTCCCTCCCAGCCCTGAGCCTCAGTTCTTCCAAAGTAAGGGACTGCCTCTCCTTTAACTCCTCCCAACTGCCTATTCCCTTCCATCTCTGCCCTTTTGGCTTGCCCTGCACCCTGCCTTCCAGGGCAGCAAGCAGCCCCAGAACTGCATGGCTCTGGGACTGCAAGAAGCCCAAGCTGGAGTACAGCACGAAGCCCTTCACAGCGCGAAGCCCAGCCCCAGCCTGGCCCAGCAGTGTGGCACAAAGCCACACCCAGCCAGTCGGCCTCACCACTCTGCATCCCAAGGCCCCTGCTGCCCTTTACCGTCGTCTTGCTCCCGCTGCTATGTGCCCAGTCTGGCCCTTTGCGAGGCAGCTGCTGGCCACAAAAGGCCATCTTCCCCAGGTCTTGCAAGGAAACCACCATGCATGACCTGGGGAAGAAAGCCTTTTGCAGTCTGCAGCTGTCTTGCAAAGGGCCAGGCCGGGCACACCTGTCAGCAGCAGCAGCAGCAACAGCAGCAAGACGACAAAGGTCAGCTAGGGCGGCCATGGAGTGCAGGGGGCCAAAAGGGCATAGATGATGGGGAGATAGGTGGGTGGGGGGAGTTGAAGTGCCCCTATGGTCATAAGTGCAGTGGGCTGCCAAGTGCCTGAATTTTGATCAGGTGATCATGGGGCACTGTACCCATGGCTATAACTTCAGGGACTGGTTATAAGTCCCTTTGTTCAGCACTGCTGTAACTTTGAACAGTTGCTGAACAAATGGTCATAAGTCAAGGACTACCTGTATTTAAACACACCTTTGATTTGTGAGATAGGGATGGATGGCTCCTGCTCAGTAACATGAAAGATGTCCAGAGAACTGGACATGAGAAAGAGAACGTATACATTTCTTGTAGCACTGTCTGATTCAGAGAACTTAGCAAACAAGCAGGCAGCAATTCTGCAACTGAAATTCTTGACTCCAATGAAATGCAATATTTATAGTCTAGAAAAAGCTGGTTTGAGACCATTTCTAAATGACAAACATTTTAGTCATAGATAGTGTTCTTTTTATAGAAGATGGCTAGTACTAACTCTTTTGCATTATTTCCTGAAGTAAAAATCACAGTCTATCAATTGTATGGTAACCATGCATCACTATTACTGAGTTCATGCCACTGGCCAGATGTCTGCAGCATTTTTTGAAAAGTGGCCAGCTTCCCCTTTCTTCCCCTCTTAATATTAGGGAGAGGGGAGCAAGGCAGGTAATTACTGTGAGAAGTTTTTAAGGTCCTCCCAAAATATAAACTGGTTTCTGACTAGAATCTTATTTTAGTATGGGCACTGGGTTTCAACAAGGAGATAGAAGGCTTAGGAGAACAGCATGTACATTTGTACAGAATATTCTTATTAGAGCAAACCATTACAATCTGTCCTCCAAGCCACCAAGTCTTAATATATTTATCTAGTGACATATTTGCAGTGTTATGCCAACTACAGAAAGGCTAAGTTGGTGTCACACAAAGTAAGATTCTCATTCCAAAACCGATCTTCAGTAAGCCTGCAGTACAATCATAAGTTTAAAATTAGCACCCACCTTCTGCATTCTACTCTTCTGCAAACACTGAGTCTATTTAGACAAACTAAGCCAAGTAGAATTTATGAACCTATAAAAGACGTGAGTGAAAACTTTTAAACAGCATTTGGCTGATATGAGAAGACAATACAACAATAGTTGATATTTTAATTATGCTCAAGTATATAATTATGCTCTGAGAAATGTGAATAAATTAATTACACAGAATCAAAGAAAGGCCTCAGCTTCCTGAAGTTACATTATTGAAATACTGTCAAAAACAAACAGGGAAATACTTTGCTGTAGCATTAATGACAGGAAACAAAATATACAAACACACTCAATCTATTTGGCATTGTATTCATTCTTGACATTAAAAATGTACATAAGAATAAAGAGACAGCTAACAGAAAATAACTAGACCTTAGACTTCAGGTTTAAGTGAATTGCAATAGATCTCTTGCAAGTTTGCCTATGAACTGTAATCTTCAGGTTAGTGTCTAAGCTTCACTTCAGAAACTGATGAAGAAAGAAAAGATACTCCTAGACATTCTGGATTAATATCTGTATCTACTGCAGTTCTTGCACTACAAATACAAAGTCAACAGAAGAATGGAAGTAAAACATTAAAATCCAGAAAAGAAAAGTTTGAAAAACCAAGCAGGATAAATAATAAAGTACGTCAAGGTTTCAGCCCAGACAGTAGAAAAAAACAAAAGTTAATTGATCTTGTGACTCAGCAGAACTGCCATGTACTTGAGTTTTTAAGTATGCTTGACCGTACCACATTTTAAAACTGTTTACTGCTTAAGCCATGAGAAGTGATGACTGAAATCCCATGAGCTTGAATTCCACAACAGGTTCTCAACTCTGCTAGTGCTTGCTGATAGAACTCAGTTCTTTAAAGTGCCACTGAAACACTGGAATAGTTATTGATCAGTAGATTTTAATGTTTATAAAATGGTGAACAAATTTCAATTTCTTTGAAGCAGGGTAGATGTTTTGGTACACTCATCTTTGGACGTCTTCACATTTCCTCAAGGCTTCGCCTTATTGCCTCTTGAAATTCAACATCATCATCTGTATCTGCATAAAAATATCAGAACATGAAACTACACCCAAGTAACAACTGCAGAGTTTGGAAAGTAATTTGGAAGAATCAGTAAGGACTTCCTAATTAGCGCTCTGTCCAGCAAAACTTAAAAATCATACATTTCCAGGTGAACATTACTCTTGGCATCCGTAATAGGAAGAGATCTTGAGGTTACATGCCTGCAGTTAATCAAACTATCATCTGTTATAAAACCATCATCTGCAGAGTTAATCAAACCAATCAGATAATAATCTGAAGCCAGAATGGTCCAACCACTGGCCTTCAGCTTGAATAGTCTTTGATCTCCTAACTCAGCCTCCCTGATTTTGTATAAAATATGGGGCACAGAAACCAGCAAAAGGATGGATCCTCCCACAGACCAGATGATGTCTGAAGGGAAAGGACTCCTATCACCATAAGGATAAGATTTTGAACTGGCTCCTTCCTACTATCTACTGCTCAAAGCTGCATGTGGATGGAAAGGTAAGTTGCTCACTTCCACCTTCAACCTCCCCACCAAACAGTCCCAAATTGCTCTTCATTCTGCTGATTTCAGTCTATAATTTTGGCTTTTTTCCCTGAATTTGAAGGGGAAATGGAAGTGGGAAGCTTCTGGAAGGCAAATTTCTGCTATGTCCCCATCCAAACTGCTTAAAATCTGCCACCAAAACAGCAATTCATGGCATGGGTGGGGGGAGAGTTGGAGCTTTCTAAGGAAGAGAAGGAAGCAGTTTGCTTTCTGGAGAGTTCACGTTCCTTTTCCTCCCCTTAAAACAAAGGATGCGCAAAATTTTCTGTGCACAAAACATGCAATTTCTGTGGTCCATGTCCAGATAAACACACATATGTTTTAGTCTGGACATGGATGGATCAAACAAGTTCTGGATAGACATATTGGGGGGGGGGTAGGAAAAGGCCAAAGATAGCATCAATAGGTGGTGAATGCTAAGGGGATGTAGACGACAGAAGATCAGCAGAGGCAGCCTGGTTGGATAACCACTGCTACTGCCACCAATGTTCTTGCTTCAAGGACAGCCCATCGAATCACCATACCTGGTCCCAATCTTCCCAGGGACTTCTATTTTTGCCCCTCTATTACCCACCAATATCCTTGGCATCTAGTGCAGCATAAGAACAGACAGGGAAAGGAAGCCACTGAGATTGTTGGGTAGGGACCATATAGCAGAAAAAGCTGAGAGATAAGGGGGGAAGGTACACTAGCACTACCCTGCTTCCTTCAAAAGTCCCCTGGATTTTGTCTTCAGATGGTCAAAATATTCTCAGCTTTGGTTCTGCCAAAAAGCAACCAAGAGTAGTTCAACAAAGTCCAAGACATACTGTAGTATGTTTGCTTTGAAACAAAATACACTTCCTGTTTTGAGCGTATCAGTACTTAAAACCTGAAACAAGGCTGAAAACTCAGTCCATCCCCTTCCAGTAATGTCGTTAGATGGCTTCTTGTGGCCTGCCAGAAGTTTGGGACATCCTTAATCATCTTCTGTTCCTGGATTACAGTGGCAGCACCTATTCAGGATTCCAATTCTATCTCAAGAGGCTGGGAATGAACTAAGGTAAACTTACACCTTTAAGTATAGGATAGATCACACCTTACTTCATGCTGTGAACTAAGATATATTCATGCTGATTCATATACATAGCTTCTATATAAGTTACTGAGGCTCTCATTGCTTCTAAATACTATATAAAATAAAACCCCTGCTTGTGGAATGCACATATCTAATTTATGATAATGGCAGCTCTAGAACAGAGCTGCTGTAGGAAGGCAAATTGTGAGGTCACAGAGCTGGACATTACTATCACTGCATACAATCCTGGAACTAATTATGATTTTACTACCAAAAGTGCCTATGTTGATATGCAAATATCTCTAGCATCATTAATTAGTTCTCCAAGGCCTGTTTCTGACCAAAATACAAGAAGTTAATGATGAAAGACTTAAAATAGCTGTCTCACAACCAGAGACCATCTTTGTTATCTTTTGCTTTTGCCAGAATGCACTTTTAATTAAAAAAAAGACCCGATCCAATATGTATTTATTTTATTTATCATATTTACTAATAAGCTGAAATTCTTACATACTACTTATTTTTGTATCTTTAATAAGCATCTGCTATGGAAATTAAGACATACCATTTTGGCTATTTGTTTCTTGCAAAATCTGTTGCATTGCTGTTTGAGTATCAGCCTCTTCATTTTCTGTAATCAGACACAAATATTTTTATTCTGCAACATTTCAACTCTAACAACTGGCTTTCGTCTTCAGAGTTTTGTTGACTGATAGCAATTGCCTGGCCTTATCTTTTGCAACAGAAAATCAGACATGGAAACTGTGATTCAATCTCTTCTCAGATGGGCTCTGCTCCCGCTAAAAGAGCAAGTTTGCAACTATGAAATACTCCTAGATCTAGAACTTCCCTGTGGTGGCAGTGAAAGGGAGCATTTTACCTAATACATTCAGTGTAACACCTATGTTTCTTCCTAGACTGTCCAGTATGGCAGCAATAAATCATCTCCTGACTATACTGTATTGCATTTAGAACACCCCAGTGCATTCTATATAACTATATTCTTTAATACCTTCTGAAAACTTCATTAGTACAGTATCTGATAGCTAGGTTATTAACTAGCGCACTATACTGTGGTCATATTACTCCTACATATGCTATCACTCTAATCCCATTCGCTATTACCAACATTATGCAAAGCACATAAAAGGAGTAGAAATAGTAAGCAAACAATGTTAAAAGCACAATGCAAGAAAAAAGAAAAAGAAATAGAACTATATTTAGTGTATACCAACACCATTTACTCTACCTCTGTGTATCTTTCCATCCTTGTAACCATCTTAGCTTCTCCCATGCGTGTAAGCCACTTTATATATTACTTTTTGTCTAGTCATATTTTTACAACACTGAAATATTGCACTGGTCAACAATTGTTTTCTGAGTCTAGTTTAAAACATTTGCCTAATCTAAGCATGCAAGGCACAGATGGCCCAGGAGCTGGTTACAGCCCACTGATATCCTCCTTTTGTATCCCCCTGCAGTCATCCCAATGTGAAATGGGTAAGGCACCCATTTCACTCCCTAAAACTCCTGAAACTCCCCTTTCCCCCAATGGGTCCTTGACGTTCTGTGAAAAACATGATGAGACCTTCAAGCTGATGAAAGCTGAGCAACTCTGATTTATCTTTTAGTGTCCTAAATGGTTTAGTAGGCAGCTTTTCCTAAAACGATACCCTCCAGATGCATTGGAACTTCAATTCCTAGCTCACTGTAGTAGCTAGGAACTTTAGGAACTGAAGGCCCAACGTATTTGGAAGGCTCCTGGTGGGAAAATAGGATATCAGGGGTGGGGGGAATACCTGACCTGTTAGGAACCTTCCTAAATGTTACAATCTATTTGTTCTTTCTAAAGACACCCCCATGTGCACAGGCCCATTTATTAGACCTTTTCCTCTGATACTTCAAAACAGTAATGGGTTTTACTCTTTCAGTTTTAGTTTCATTTTGTTCTGTGTTTTACTCTCATTAGCCAATCTGAGCAGAATTTTCTTTGATGAAAAGTGCGAGATAAATTTAATAATAAGTAATTGTTATGTTATTATGAATGATGAAATGATGTAAAGGAGCATAGTTCATGAGCCTCTTCCAGACCCCACTCCTTGCTTTCCACCAGGAACATACAGCACATGGAGACCTTTTGCCAAAAAAGGAGTAGCTCTAGGGAGTTATTTGCCCTTCCCTGGTGGAACTGCAGACAACTGCCTGGGGACTGGGAAGCAGAACATCAGCTTCATCTTTTTGCCAAGTCCCCCCCCCCCCAAAAAATACTAGCAAGGAACAATCAGCCAAGCCCAATGCCAATTTGTAGCGTACCATTTCATTCTGGCCTCAAGGAATTCCTCCTTTCTCCCGCCTTTGTGAATTATGCTTTCATCTTGCCCCACAGTAAGGGAAGCATGGTAGGTTAATTAAACTGTGCCAGGAATGACCACTATACCCTTGGATAGAAGCCTGTAAAGTGGGTCAATAAATATTTTATTGCATTTGTTTCTTAGACAACACACTATATGAAAACAAACCTTTGGCTGTATCCGAAATGCTATTTAATAAGGCACACATCATATCAGCATCGAGCTTATGAGGATCTAGAATGCGGGTTGCCCGCTGAGTCATCTTAAGCTGATCTTCCAATTCTAGAAAGCTTTTGTCTCCAGAAAGAATGGTGAAAGGAATATGTTTTGGCAGATGTTCATCCAGGCGGCCCACCTGTGGACGAAAATGCACACACAGTTTAAGATCCCTTAACGTGATATACTGTATATTGTAATAGGGAAATGTTTCCAAGCATGGCAAAATGATTCTCAGTCTTTAATTACTGGGCAGTTGACAACTTCATGAACTTACAGGAAGGAAAAGACTAAGCCACATCCCAACCTATATGTCCCCAAAAGGCAACTCTTCCTCCAGGAATGGTTGTTTCCATCATTCTTTCCTAGCAATCTCTCTCTAGCCTTAAATTCTCTACACAGTAGTAGCCAGTGATTACATTCATGAAAGAGAGAAATCAATTCTGCTTAAAAACAAAATCAAAACTTAACAGTGAAATATGTAGATATTTCCTAATTCTCCCACATGCTCTTTGTGAAAAAAAAAAATAAGCAAAAACCAATGCTTAATGTTATGGATCATTAAATGCTACATAAAAGAATACTGTTAATCAACTAGCTTGAAATAAATATTCATGTTCTGAAATGTAATATAAGCATTATAATATAATAAATTCTGAGTTTTAGGGTTTTTTAAGGTATGTATTTATTTATTTGATTTGGTGCCACCGAATACTAAAGCAACCCTAATTTTAAAGCAGTTTTTGTGTAAATATCTACTTTAAAAGCAGTCACCTTTATATCATAAAATGAAAGTTAGAAAGTAATTTGAACTATCTAATACCAATGATTTGGAAACTAACAACATAATAGAAATACATACAGCACTTTCATAATAGCAAAAAACGGAATTACAAGAATGGAATGACACCTACTCCCTATCAATTATACAGTGATCTGAAAAACTCATCATATACTAGTTTAGATGTTTCTCTTTTTTCTGTTGCTCAATAAAATTACTCAAAATTGGTAATTTAATAGTATAACATCCCACAAAATCTGTATGTATGTTTGTATATGAAATATAGTATATACACACCAACCAAAATAATCTTTTGTTTACCTTTTAATTTATTTGGGTGTAATCATTTAAAATAACTTAAAAGAGAAATTATCAGGTGGTGTCATGAGTGGCTTAAGTTCTACTCCAATCACTCACTGATGCCAAGTGTACCAGGGGGAAAAACAATAAAGTGTTTCTCATCATAACAACTATTATGTTAAAATTAAATCTACTAGCTCTTTAGTAGGGTTATCTTAACAACCTTGCAAAAATGTAGATGACTACTAGAGGGAAAATATTTTTTGATTGATTATGTGCCATCAAGTAGTTCTTGACTCCTAGTGACCACATATAGGTAGAGGGAAAATAAGAGATACAGAAAATTCTAACTCTCCCCTTTAGTGGTCATTTGTAGTTCTGCAGCCTCAATACGGCAGCCCTAGTTATTTGATCAGTACAAAAGCCTGAAAGCTTACGTGTACGCAGATTGCAAAATCAGCTGCCTCTCTCCTTGTACCACAGCGCGGATGAAGAAAGAAACACCCAATCTTATTAAGATAATTAAAGATCTTGCAATTCACAGGGGGTTTCCAATTGCTATGTCCACCTAAGCAATGAAACAGGAATGGAGTAATCATAAGAAACTATATAGATGCTGCCCAGTAAAAGAGAAGTAAAAACAAGTTTCAGAGATGGGAACACTGTAAAAAAAACCATAACCCATATTTTTAAGAAACAGTTAATCTATGCTGCATAAGTTTGGTATGTACTGAATTATATATTCCCAACTCTAACAGTCTTACTGGAGGATTGTATAAAGATTGTATAATTCTTCACCACAATCAACAAGTGGCCAGTTATTGGATGCATAAACTTAGTTATGAAGTCAGATTGATATAGAGAGACAGTTTGGCCTAGTAGTTAAGGCACCAGGCTAGAAACTGGGAGACCGTGAGTTCTAGTCCTGCCTTCGACATGAAGCCAGCTGGATGATCTTGGGCCAGTCACTCACTCTCAGCTCTAGGAAGCAGACAGTGGTAAACCACTTCCAAAATCTTGCCAAGAAAACTGCAGGGACTTATCCAGGCAGTTGCCAGGAGCCAACGGTGACTTGAAGGCATACACACACAGACTGATAGGGAATTCTGTGCAACAAAATATATTTCCAAATTACTAGGTGAAAAATAGAGCAGCTCCTGATGACCACAGAAGGTAGCTGTTCCTTTTTCTATGACACCTGCACATACATACCCCATCCACAATCATGTCTAATACATAAGACTAAGTGATGCAGTCATAAAGTGTGACATTATGTGACTGCATTGCTTAGTGACGGCAATCCTGGCAATTCTAGTTGCCATCGTAACCCGAAGATGCATGGGTTGTTAAGCAGGAAGCAGCAGAAGTCCCAGGTAAAGAGCGCAGGGGTGGATGGGGGAGGCCTTGGGAGGCCCAGCACAGGCTGCATGTGAGTTGAGGGAGGGCTTGGGAACCTCAGCACAGGCCGCATATGAGTTGAGGGAGGGCTTGGGAGGCCCACCACATACCACATGTGAGTCAGGGGAGCACCAGCAGAGACTGCGTGCGGGTGAGGTGTGTGTGCTACAGGCAGGAGTGATTTACTGGAGTGTCTTGCAACCTTTCCTGCTGGTTTCCCCATTGACTTTGCTTGTGGGAAGCCAGCAGGGAAGGTCACAAATAGTGATTATGTGACCCCTGCTCCCTGCAATATCATAATCACGAACTGGGCACTTGAGCACCCAGATCATGATCACATGACAGCAAGGGTGCTGTGATGGCCAGAACTTCGAAGACCGGTTGTAAGTCCATTTTTCCAGTGCCGCCATAACTTTGAACAGTTGCTGAATGAATGGACATAAGCCAAGGACTAACTGTATTTAGTATTACATTTCCTGTAAAACATGAGGATAAAAATCTACTAAAACTAAACTAAAACAAAAAACAAAAAACTATTGAAACTAAACAAAGTAATTCCACAAGTCAAAAGAGTTCTAGGCAAAACTAAGCAATGCCATTTTCTTTTACTGATTACCAAAACATTGGTAATACCTGATTATGTAAAAACCACCTTCTCTTAATAACACAACAGCTTTTTGTATCAAATTCCATGCTCTTTTCAATTCATTTTTTTCCTTATTGATTTGTTCAACCCTTTCAGCTGATCTCCATCCAACTGAAGACAAGAATATAAGGGCATTCCAATTTCCACTCATGCTTTAAAATCGCAGAAATTGGGAAATAAGAGCAAACTCTTATATATTTTCCAACAGCAGTTATGAAGACTTCGCTTAATCTTATTTGTCATAACAGTTTTAGATGTTAAGGACACACTGTACTCAGTTTATGCTGGACTTTCAGGTTAGCCTTGGGCTGGAGAAGGATGTGACCAGGAAGATACTAAACTACAGCTTCTCCAATTGTGCAGCAGAAATACATAATGTATCTGCAAAAGAAGAATTCCACCTACTACTGCACAGTAACTGTGCAGGAAGAAATTATCTTATGTCCATTTCAGGACCAAAATGTATATGGCTCAGTATTTTTCTCAATGTTGAAATAGATATCCATTATTACAGGAAGCCCATGGAAAACAGCCAGAAGATATGGGTCATGAACTGGTCCCAAGGTATGTTAAAATTCCTAGTTACCAACTTACATTGCTTTCAATAACATATAACAGCATAGGGCAACAAAGGAAAGTGCCATTTTGGAATCAGTACAAATTGACTTTTTGCTTTTCATATATTTCTTTTACATAATAGCTGCCCACATGCTAGGCAATTCTTACCAAGCTGCCTGCTTATATTGTGAGACTTCTACTGTTATACCTGAACTCCTAACTTCTTTCCTTACCTTGAAAGCCCCAAATAAAAGTTCCTTGATTGAGAGTCGCAGGCAATTGATGGAAAAGGTTTCCCCAGTTATCTAAATCCATCATTACAATGTGAGTCATGGTGCTTAAGTAATCAAGATCAGGAAGATCTCCATCATCTATATGTAAGGGAGAGGGAGAAAAGGAAAGAATAACCCAAATGTTTATGCATTTCTTCAGTTGTAGAAATATATGTTTCAGACAGCTTTCAAAATATAAATTGTTCTCAACAACTCAATATAATGTAAGCCATAAAAGCACAGTATATTTATGTAGGAGAATTCCTCCTTTGACATACATCCCACATTACCAAATGATGCCCTTCGGACTTTGGATGATTACTTACAAAATCAGAATACAGAGAAGAGCCAAACCTTTATAAGATACTGAAAATGGTTCTGATTTACACAATCATGCCCAACTGGAAGTAGTACCAGGAGGATTTTGCAAGAACACTTCTCAGCATTTAAGAGGTTAATTTAACAATGTTTACCATTGTCTGCTAAGAAGATAATGTTGCCTATCTTATGAGACAAGGTGGGCATAAGAAAAGATAAAGAAATTCTCCCATGCCCCTCACAGGTATTAGCTAAACTCTGTAACAGGCATTAGCTAAACACAGAAATATCCTCACCATGCAGGCTCCACAATAGCCCAAAGTAAGGCGAAAGTGGATATGTTACATACTGAAAAAAAGTTCCACAGCAGATGTGACTGCCAATTCTCAGACATAGAATCTGCTTGTATCTTATTGCTGTTTATTTCCTTACTCAAAGTAATCCACACTTCCAATGCCAAGCCCTAAAATCTCTTTTAATTTCTATTTTCTACCTTGTCTCTTGTAATTATTTTATTTCTGATACCGTGATAAGGGCCAAAAGTTTAAATATGTTATTCCTGGCACTTGCAAAATATTACATCTTTATTAATGACTACACAAAGAAAGTTTGCATTACTTAATGATGTGGCTTTTCAGCTTTATCAATTGCTTTGCAATGTCCTTCATCAGCTTCATTAGCTGTGTATTACCTGATTTCTACCTACCTTGTTCAAACATTTCGGAATGAAGCTTTCTAGTCTGTTCTTTGTTTGCATCTTCCAGCTTCAGCCTTTTTTCATCTGAAGAACTTGTTGAAGTTACATCTACAGAAAGCTTCAGTTTATCAGGCTCCTTGTCTGTGCAGGATCTCTTGGCAGAAAAATGGAAGATATTACTTTCTGCTTGTGGTCCAAAAGCTAGTTGAGGTTTTTGTAAAAAGCAATGTTTATCATGGAAGTGCTGATGGGCAACAGCAATATTATTAAAATGCTTGTTACATGAACCACACCTGACTACATACAACTCTTGATCAGTTTTTTTGCTTGTGTGGCTTGTGAGATGAGCCATCATGTCAGAATAGGTTTGTGCTGTAGAAGAGCATGAAGTGCAGCGAAACCATAGATTGCCTTTTTCCAACATGGCTTCTTGACATTTCTTGTAATCTACCTTCCTGTTTTTTTTGCAAATGTATTTCTCATGACAGCCACAGTTTAGAAGACTACCTTCTTCTATTATTTCATGGCTTTTGATTGAGGTTCCTGCTGTCTCAGACACACAGAGGTAATCCATGCTATGTAAGTCCCTGAAGTGAAGTAAAAACTCCTTCTCAACATCAAAGAAGAGGTCACCACAAAATCCACAGAAGTATTTAATCTGTACAACCTTGTTATGCCTATCCTGACAGTGTCGCCGTAGTGTTTCCGTTTTCCGAAAAGTCATTTTGCACAAGCCACAGCTGTATCTATGAAAATGATGACTCTCTAATGATTTGCAATGTTGTTTCACACTGTCCTCCGAGTTAAATATTTCCTCACACATCTGACACTGCCATTGGCGAGAAAGACTCTCAGCTACCTCCATCTCACTCTGGACTGAAGGAAGTTCGATAGGGCTTGGAGTTTGACCTTCTTGTTTAAGTGAACTGCTGTATTGTGAATCAGAAGATATTGTCAGCTCATCCTCAGCAATGTCCTTCTCAAAATAGAAGTTATGTCCACCATGAAGTTCTGTCACATGGGTAAAGACATCTTCTTCTTTCTGAAGGGCTACAGTGCAAACTTGGCACCAGAAGATGAAGTTAGTCAAATGTGCTCCTCCATGGAAACGGCTCATGTGCAAACGGATAATGCTTGCATTTTCTGCAAGTTTCCCACATACACCACATTTGTGGCAGATTCTGTTTTCAGAAAAAATGTGTTTTTCTACCAGCTCTTCAGAAAGAAATGCCAGATCACACTGACATACCCAAGTTTTGACAGTAGGAGCTGTGCAAACCTCTTGGTTGTTGCCTTGCAAATCCTTTTTCCATTTTGAAACAATTTCATTCTTATCGCCATTCAATTTCAAATGTCTCTTCAGAGGAGAAGATTTTAAAAGGCTTGCATTCTTTTGCAGGTGAGGGGCACTTTTATTCCCTTCATTGATGTGACAGATTAATAAAATGGATTCTTCCATTGTGGTAATAAGTTTAATCTTGGCAACATTTGTGCAACTATGCTGAGTAATTTGGTCATCATTGACAAACAACTTGTCACAGCCTTGACAGAAACCTTTGACTTTCAGCACTTCTGCAACTTGGGAGATGCACTTCTTTGATACAGCTACAGGACCAGCATTACGACAACGGGTTCTAAAATGGAAAGATACAGAAATATAGTCACAGCTATCTATCTAAAAATTGTTCATCTCAAAAAGAAACCATATTCTCAACGTTGCAAAATTCTGACTTCAAATACATAACATTTGTTGATCAAAGGCCAGCTGGCAAAGACATCATTAGAAGTGATTGTCACAAGCACTATCATTGTCCTACCATGTCATTGTCTTTTTTAACTTTTTAAATATAGGAAGCCATGCATGCATAAAGGAACTATGGTGGAAAAATCCATGCGTGTAATAAATAATGCTGAATTCTGTCTTCACTGCAGGGAAAAACACCTGGGAAAGGCAGTGAAGACAGGATTCAGCACTTTTATTACATGCATGGAATTTTCCACTTTTCAGCATTTGACAAACACCATCTCCACTTTTAAAATACAAGGAGTAAGCCACTTACACAAGTGGCAGAACATAATTAGGTCTGACGTTCAACAGATATTTAAAGGGAGAAAAACTGGCCTGTGATTGCATTTTATAAATGTGAAGTTTTTCACAAACCTGAAGTGTGCTGTTAATTCGATGTGGGAACGCAAAACCTGATGACAGGATGTACACTGCACTTGGAATGGAACTTCTTTGCATAAGGAGATTAGAAGATTCTTAGCATAGGTTGGCAAAGGCAAAGGAAGTGGACTCCCTGCTTTATCTGCAATAGAGTCAACAGAAGGCAGCGTTACTTAGAAGGGATCCAATTACCCTTGCCCCAAAATAGGATTATCCACATCCCAGCTTTCCTTCCCACCCACTCCCTTCCTTTGAAACTCCACTAAATCATCAGCAGTCTGATGCACAACATGCAGACAAGATTTTATAACCAAATGATACCTAGTTAATATTCTACCATATACAGAGTTCACATAAAAATCTTTCATCTATCAACTACCAAGTGCTGTTTGCTGCTGAAAGATATCTACAGAATCCAAACATCCTTAACTGCAAGTCACTGTTGTCCTATGACAATGGATGTCTCTTTTCCTGAGAGAAGCCACAGCCAGGCTTTGAACATTTCTGTACTTCAAGAGAAACCTATCTGGACTGGAATATGGGGACTGTTTCTAACTTATTCCACACTTTTATTTAAAACATTTCACACCTTCTTTTCAGTGAGCATTTTAATTAGTGATTTCAGCCTATTTTGCACAAAATAGGAACATTACAGAAAAAACAGCTCATTCTATTTACATTTCCAGATTGGAACATTTCCTTTCTTAAGACAGATGTAAAATCATTACTGAAGGTACTGCATCTTTGTAACCATATATTAAAGTATAAACCAATAATCTATGCATTACCCACTCACACCAGAGAGAAAAATATGTTATCTCAAAAAGATGAAACATACCACTCAATTTAAAAGCCTGAGAAAAATGATTTTTTCCAGACATATGCTGTAGACATTCATCTCTTATGCTAAAGAGGAGGAAACAGCAAGGACACGCAAAGCACTGAATATGCTGAGGAGGGTAATTTCTCTCATGGCCATCATTTTCACCAACCTGAGCGGAGGAAAGAAGAACACAAACAGGAACAACATTTTGAAGAAACAGAGAAACCTTATTTATTGAACTCAGAGAAAGAACTTTTTCAGTAAAACTGATTTATACTAAAAAGATCACCACAGATAGTTTAATTTAACATTTGCATTGTTCCTACTTAAGACTTCAGATTTAAAACGTCTGTTGTGGTAAGTCTGAAACTGAGTCTTACAAATCAAAAATATTTTATTTCAGTTGACAGTATTAATATTTATTTCTATCAAAGCTTCTCCTTTTGCAATTAACAAGTAATTCTACTATTATCCTAAGATCATGACGGAGCTATGCTGCATTGAAAGGGGGTTGTAAAAATGTATGTTTCACTCAGACCTACTATGAAGAATCAAAGAACATTGTGAAGCGAGCCTGGGACATGCCCCTTCAATTTAAGACTTCAACTCTTCTCTATCTCCATCTTTTGCTCCTTCACTTTCATGAAATCCCTTTTCAGCAAAGAGGCCAATTATTCCCAGATTATCTGTGGAAACCAAGTGCCCCCACTCTCTCTCTGCAGAATAAAACCTTAATTAGATTTCTTGACTTTTTTTCTGCTGAGAGTCAACAGGTAGGAGGAATTAACAGTGGAACTGCCAAATTAGTGAAACACCACGTTTATAATATTCAGAACAAAGTCTCATTAAAAGAAAAGTAGTTAAGAATGGTGAATAAAAGTCAAGAAAGGTTTATTTCATACCCAAATCTAGGTGCCAATTTTTCCCAGAAAGCTGGCATCTCTTTAAAACATAACAGAATCCTGCTCTCTGGATGAAGACAGAAAACTAACTCCCAGCTTCAAGTGTCTCAATTAGCAAAGGAATGGAATCTGCAGTATTACAGACTATTTCAATTGTGGTTTCTCTCCATGAAGATAAACTGTAAATTTTGCTCAGGGAAACTCCATATAGCTTCATGCAAGTGATTCATCTAAGGGAAGAACTTGCTACATTATCAATATATCCTTAAATTCTTGCCTTAGATAAAAGGTGTTCACTATATTGCTGACGAGTGGGAAATCTTTTGCTACAGACTATGCAGGCAAACACATTAGCTGGAGGTCCATGCAGAGTAATTGTTGGATCACATGGAGAATGATCAAACCTAAGAAAATAATAGACATAATCAGACACAATGCACTTCACAGAAATGTTTTTTCTTTGTTTTCACAATAATAATAATAATAATAATAATAATAATAATTATTATTATTATTATTATTATTACTACTACTACTACTACTACTACTACCTTGTAGCTTAATTTAATATTAGTCAAATTAAATAAAGCACACACAGTAATTTAGAATATACTTGTAAAACTAAAAATGTCCTGGCATCAAGCTATATAGATGAAACTTAATGCTGGTGCATTTCAATTGGAAAAACATTGCAAAATTATTCCTCATGGTTTGTTGAGACAACCTAATGACCAAATACGTACAAGAAAATTGTTTTCTTTTAAAGTACATGTATCTAATTCACAGGTTTCAATCAGCATATGAAACTGTGAAGATGGTTAGACAGACAATTTATGGTACAGTTCCTCCCTCCAAAGTGCATGAAAATGCACGTACCAGTGAAAATGATTGAAAAAGATGCACATAGACAATAATAAAATGT